GGCTAATGATTGGCCGAAGTGGGTTTCCAGGCTTGTGCGTCTTGACATTTCCATACGCATATCCAGGTTTATATTCCCCAATGATCTTTGGCAGGTGGAGTCCGGATTTCTTGGCGTTCACAGTTTCGATCAGTTTGTTGACCTTTGCTTTTAATTCGGCTGTAGTGTCCTTCGTTTCCCTTTGGAACTTAGTTTGGTCAGAGAGTATGATGTTCATTTTCGCCAGATATTCGTTTTTTTTAAGAATGACATATATTGGCGACTTGTCACCTCTCCTGACAACTATCTCCTTGTTCTCACGAAGGCTTTTAGCTGCCGCTCTAAGCTCGGGGGACAGTATGGTGCTTCTGTAGTTGCCTCGATTCTTTCCTCCTTCTGCAATAAGTTCTGCTTGTAAGGTATCTTTGGTAGTGACCTTCTTTTGTGTCTCGAGGTCGAATATGTCGTCCAACAGAATTTCCAACTCCACTTTCCGGGCCATTTCACTCGGTCTGGACATAACATGACAGTTTATGCCCAGATTTAGGAGAGTGACTTGGTCCTCAGTGAGGTTAATTCCTGCAAGGTTCAGGAAGCCATCTCTTGGTCGTGGAATTGCCATAGGTCCTCCATATAATGTTGTTAGTTTCTTGATAATCCTTGTTTCAGTGCTGAGGTGATGTTGGTCTGTGAGGATGTCGAGGTGTTGTTCAATGCGGGTACGGATACTATGGTCGATGTTGCTATTTCTCCACTCGTTTGTAGCATGAAGTAGTTGCGTTTTTTTGTCTTTGATTTCATTCTCTGCCTTGTATATCTGATCACGAATCAGATCCTGGCGATATTTTATCGTGAAGGCTTGATTCCTTGCTGCTGGGTCGTGCACTTTAACATTAGTATATTTTGGTAGCAGTCTTTCCTGTAGACATATTTTATTAAATATGACCGAAAAAGTAAGATTAATAATTCTAACACGAATTTTCTCAATCTTTCGTACATTATGCTTCACTGTTGGAGGTAAATCAAAAATCACTTCTCCAAAATTCATTTTTATTTCTAGTCTGACGCGACACGGGCGCGTTTCGTAAAACTTATTACATTTTCAAAGACTTCACAAATACACAACTGATTAGAACTTGCGTTTCCCTGATTTTATATCTACATTTGAGTGAGGTGGGAAGGGTGATGTGGCATTACATTTGAGTGAGGTGGGAAGGATGATGTGGCATTAACACAAGACAGAACACTAGAGGATATTAATAGGGTATTAAAAGTATCAACACAAGACAGAACACGAAACAATGGATATTGAATAGAAGTGTTTGTAGAAAGCCTATTGGTCCATATTTCTTGATGCTTCTATATTGGAGCGGAGTCTTGAGGTGGGTAGAATATAGTTGTGCAATAATTGGCTGTTGATTGCTGGTGTTGACTTCTTGATGTGTAGTGCCTCGCAAACGTCAAGCCGCCTGCTATCGCTGTATCTATCGATGATTTCTGTGTTGTTTACTAGGATTTCTCTGGCGATGGTTTGGTTATGGGAAGAGATTATATGTTCCTTAATGGAGCCCTGTTGTTTATGCATCGTTAAACGCCTAGAAAGAGATGTTGTTGTCTTGCCTATATACTGGGTTTTTTGGAGCTTACAGTCCCCAAGTGGGCATTTGAAGGCATAGACGACGTTAGTCTCTTTTAAAGCGTTCTGTTTCGTGTCTGGAGAGTTTCTCATGAGTAGGCTGGCCGTTTTTCTGGTTTTATAGTAAATCGTCAGTTGTATCCTCTGATTTTTGTCTGTAGGGATAACGTTTCTATTAACAATATCTTTCAGGACCCTTTCCTCTGTTTTATGAGCTGTGGAAAAGAAGTTCCTGTAAAATAGTCTAATAGGGGGTATAGGTGTTGTGTTAGTTGTCTCTTCGGAGGTTGCATGGCTTTTCACTTTCCTTCTTATGATGTCTTCGATGAAACCATTGGAGAAGCCGTTATTGACTAGAACCTGCCTTACCCTACAGAGTTCTTCGTCGACTTGCTTCCATTCTGAGCTGTGGCTGAGAGCACGGTCGACGTATGCGTTAACAACACTCCTCTTGTACCCACACCCACGTACAGATTGGCAAAGCGACTCAACGGCCTGCTGACTCCTTATGTTCCTTGCGCCTTCAGCCTGAAGTCTCCAAAGGAATTTGTGGACTTACTGCGGGGCGCACGGGCCACAGGGATAAGAGCCTCGTTGGACGTAGAATCGCTGTTTACCAACGTACCTGTGGACGAGACAATCGGAATGATAGCCGACAGAGTGTATCGTGATCCAGCCTGTACTCCTCTTGACATGCCAGAAAGTATTCTGAGGAAACTACTCCAAGCTTGTACTAAAGAGGCACCCTTCTTGAGCCCGGATGGGCACATGTATAAGCAAGTAGATGGGGTCGCCATGGGTTCTCCCCTAGGTGTCCTGTTTGCAAACTTCTACATGGGTACCATCGAGCAAAAAGTCTTAGTCGACATGAACTTGAAACCGGCCATATACTGCAGGTATGTTGACGACATTTTTACACAGGTACCTGATGTCAGACATCTGCAGGAGCTGAAGGAGGCATTTGAGCAGAGTTCCGTGCTGCGTTTCACTTACGAGACGGAAAAGGATGGGAAGCTGCCTTTTCTAGATGTAACAGTCATGGAAAAGGGCGGAGGTTTCCACACTGCAGTCTACACAAAGGAAACAAACATAGGAATGTGCCTAAATGCCAACAGCGACTGCCCTGACAGGTACAAGAGGAGTGTTGTTAACGCATACGTCGACCGTGCTCTCAGCCACAGCTCAGAATGGAAGCAAGTCGACGAAGAACTCTGTAGGGTAAGGCAGGTTCTAGTCAATAACGGCTTCTCCAATGGTTTCATCGAAGACATCATAAGAAGGAAAGTGAAAAGCCATGCAACCTCCGAAGAGACAACTAACACAACACCTATACCCCCTATTAGACTATTTTACAGGAACTTCTTTTCCACAGCTCATAAAACAGAGGAAAGGGTCCTGAAAGATATTGTTAATAGAAACGTTATCCCTACAGACAAAAATCAGAGGATACAACTGACGATTTACTATAAAACCAGAAAAACGGCCAGCCTACTCATGAGAAACTCTCCAGACACGAAACAGAACGCTTTAAAAGAGACTAACGTCGTCTATGCCTTCAAATGCCCACTTGGGGACTGTAAGCTCCAAAAAACCCAGTATATAGGCAAGACAACAACATCTCTTTCTAGGCGTTTAACGATGCATAAACAACAGGGCTCCATTAAGGAACATATAATCTCTTCCCATAACCAAACCATCGCCAGAGAAATCCTAGTAAACAACACAGAAATCATCGATAGATACAGCGATAGCAGGCGGCTTGACGTTTGCGAGGCACTACACATCAAGAAGTCAACACCAGCAATCAACAGCCAATTATTGCACAACTATATTCTACCCACCTCAAGACTCCGCTCCAATATAGAAGCATCAAGAAATATGGACCAATAGGCTTTCTACAAACACTTCTATTCAATATCCATTGTTTCGTGTTCTGTCTTGTGTTGATACTTTTAATACCCTATTAATATCTAGTGTTCTGTCTAATGCCACATCATCCTTCCCACCTCACTCAAATGTAATGCCACATCACCCTTCCCACCTCACTCAAATGTAGATATAAAATCAGGGAAACGCAAGTTCTAATCAGTTGTGTATTTGTGAAGTCTTTGAAAATGTAATAAGTTTTACGAAACGCGCCCGTGTCGCGTCAGACTAGAAATAAAAATGAATTTTGGAGAAGTGATTTTTGATTTACCTCCAACAGTGAAGCATAATGTACGAAAGATTGAGAAAATTCGTGTTAGAATTATTAATCTTACTTTTTCGGTCATATTTAATAATATATGTCTACAGGAAAGACTGCTACCAAATATATATATATATATATATATATATATATATATATATATATATATATATATATATTATACAAGTAACAGTGCTGCCTGTCCCCAAAAGTTAGTAATCACTATTCTAAACGGTTCTTATAAAAGGCCATTTGCATGGTTGAAAAGTTTCATCATTTGATTGGCCTTTAACACCAGCTGAACTGGCCCATGACAGAATGACATTCATTCAGATATTTTCTGCCAATCAGGACTCCCGAGGGCTGAAGTTCTGACGTGTATTGTAATTCTGGTTGAAAACAGTGTGTTGAAAACCCCGACAATTGTTTTGTTCACAGACTAAATAATTACATAAACTCTGAACTAAGTTCTGCCTCAAAGAATGACGATGTGGTTGTGCAACCCGTTCTCGCACTTGCTTATAGTCAATATCTTGCTTATGAATAAGTGCATATGTGACATGCTAATTTATTGTGAATATTTGAGTTTACCTTGAAATGTTGAATAGACAAACCACAACCTAACCTAACCTTCTTAGTATGTTAAGATTGGATTGTGGTGGTTTGTGACTGGTAGTGTGTTTGTTGCAGAGTTCTTACCTGTTTGTGCCCTCAGGACCGAACGTTGGTTCTTGGCTCCCAGATTCCAGCCGCCTGTCCTCTAGTGCAATAAACCCGAGCTAAATATCCCATATCATCTTTACACTATTCTATCTTGCATCTTTATGGCTTATCTACGTCTTATTCTATTGGTATCCATTATAATTATATCTTTTCGCCATGCCTATTGCCCTAAGTATTTTGTATGTCTAAATCAGGTCTACTTTCCCTCTCTTCTGTATTTTAGCTCCATTTAATCCACCTATTTTCAACCTTCCACCGTTCCCACTCCGAAGCAATTCTGGGATGAGCCTCATTGCAAACTTCAATAACTTTTTAAAATCCCTTACGTAATTTTTTTGAGGTTGGGCCCCATGACTGGCTGCATGCTCTAGGAATGGTCTCACGTAGGTGGCGTAAAGGGGATCTGAAAACCTCCTTATTGAGATTCATGAGAGGCGGCACTCATGCTCGAAAGTTTAAAGTATGGTGATCATGCTATACTATTTTCACGAAGCTTAGTGGTGAAGCGCTTAATGTTGTACCCGCTTGTTGTACCCGCTTGGTGATGTACCCGCTTGGTGTTGTGCCCGCTTGGTGATGTACCCGCTTGTTGTACCCGCTTGGTGTTGTACCCGCTTGATGTTGTACCCGCTTGTTGTACCCGCTTGTTGTACCCGCTTGTTGTACCCGCTTGGTGTTGTACCCGCTTGCTGTTGTACCCGCTTGGTGTTGTACCCGCTTGGTTTTGTACCCGCTTGGTGATGTACCCGCTTGGTTTTGTACCCGCTTGGTGATGTACCCGCTTGGTGTTGTACCCGCTTGTTGTACCCGCTTGGTGTTGTACCCGCTTGGTGTTGTACCCGCTTGGTGTTGTACCCGCTTGGTGTTGTACCCGCTTGGTGTTGTACCCGCTTGGTGATGTACCCGCTTGGTGTTGTACCCGCTTGTTGTTGTACCCGCCTGGTGTTGTACCCGCTTGGTGTTGTACCCGCTTGGTGCTGTATCCGCTTGGTGATGTACCCGCTTGGTGTTGTACCCGCCTGGTGTTGTACTCGCTTGGTGCTGTACCCGCTTGGTGATGTACCCGCTTGGTGTTGTACCCGCTTGGTGTTGTAACCGCTTGGTGTTGTACCCGCTTGTTGTACCAGCTTGTTGTACCCGCTTGGTGATGTACCCGCTTGGTGATGTACCCGCTTGATGATGTACCCGCTTGGTGATGTACCCGCTTGGTGATGTACCCGCTTGGTGTTGTACCCGCTTGATGCTGTACCCGCTTGGTGATGTACCCGCTTGGTGATGTACCCGCTTGGTGATGTACCCGCTTGATGTTGTACCCGCTTGATGTTGTACCCGCTTGATGATGTACCCGCTTGGTGTTGTACCCGCTTGGTGATGTACCCGCTTGATGTTGTACCCGCTTGGTGATGTACCCGCTTGGTGTTGTACCCGCTTGGTGATGTACCCGCTTGGTGATGTACCCGCTTGATGATGTACCCGCTTGATGTTGTACCCGCTTGGTGATGTACCCGCTTGGTGTTGTACCCGCTTGGTGATGTACCCGCTTGGTGATGTACCCGCTTGGTGTTGTACTAGCTTGGTGATGTACCCGCTTGGTGATGTACCCGCTTGTTGTACCCGCTTGGTGATGTACCCGCTTGGTGTTGTACCCGCTTGGTGATGTACCCGCTTGTTGTACCCGCTTGGTGATTTACCCGCTTGGTATTGTACCCGCTTGGTGATGTACCCGCTTGTTGTACCCGCTTGATGATGTACCCGCTTGGTGATGTTTACCACTCCAACTACAGTGCCAGAGAACCACTCCACCTACAGTGATGAGAACCACTCCACCAACAGTGCCAGAGAACCACTCCACCAACAGTGCTGGAGAACCACTCCACCAACAGTGATGAGAACCACTCCACCTACAGTGCCAGAGAACCACTCCACCAACAGTGCTGGAGAACCACTCCACCAACAGTGATGAGAACCACTCCACCTACAGTGCCAGAGAACCACTCCACCTACAGTGCTGGAGAACCACTCCACCTACAGTGCCAGAGAACCACTCCACCTACAGTGCCGGAGAACCACTCCACCTACAGTGACTGAGAACCACTCCACCTACAGTGATGAGAACCCCTCCACCTACAGTGCCGGAGAACCACTCCACCAACAGTGCCAGAGAACTACTCCACCAACAGTGCCAGAGAACCACTCCACCAACAGTGCCAGAGAACCACTCCACCAACAGTGCCAGAGAACCACTCCACCAACAGTGCCGGAGAACCACTCCACCAACAGTGCCGGAGAACCCCTCCACCTACAGTGCCGGAGAACCACTCCACCAACAGTGCCAGAGAACTACTCCACCAACAGTGCCAGAGAACCACTCCACCAACAGTGCCAGAGAACCACTCCACCAACAGTGCCGGAGAACCACTCCACCAACAGTGCCGGAGAACCACTCCACCTACAGTGCCAGAGAACCACTCCACCAACAGTGCCAGATAACCACTCCAACTACAGTGCCAGAGAACCATTCCACCTACAGTGACTGAGAACCATTCCACCTACAGTGACTGAGAACCACTCCACCTACAGTGCTGGAGAACCACTGTACCTACAGTGACTGAGAACCACTCCACCTACAGTGATGAGAACCATTCCACCTATAGTGACTGGGAACCATTCCACCTACAGTGCCAGAGAACCACTCCACCTACAGTGCCGGAGAACCACTCCACCTACAGTGCCAGAGAACCACTCCACCTACAGTGCCAGAGAACCACTCCACCAACAGTGCCAGAGAACCACTCCACCAACAGTGCCAGAGAACCACTCCACGTGCAGTGTCGGAGAACCACTCCACCAACAGTGCTGGAGAACCACTCCCCCGAACACAATAAAGTAGCCGTCACATCTGCAAGAAAAATGATAGGTTGGATAACAAGAACCTTTCACATTTGAGATGCTATACCGATGATGATACTCTTCAAGACGCTTGTGCTCTCTAGAGTGGAGTACTGCTGCACAATGACAGCACCTTTCAAAGCTGGAGAAATTGCTGACCTGGAGAGCGTGCAGAGCTCCTTTACTGCTAGAATCCACTCAGTAAAACATCTAAACTATTGGGACCGACTAAAGAGCCTAAATCTGTATTCCCTTGAAGGAAGGCGGGAGAGATACAACACGTGAGAAATATTAATAGGGGCTGGTTCCAAACCTGCACTCAGAAATAACATCACATAAGACCAGAAGGCATGGCAGGATGTGCAGAATACCCCCGTTGAAGAGCAGAGGTGCAATAAGTACTCAGAGAGAGAACTCTATCAACATCAGAGGCCCGAGACTGTTCAACACGCTTCCACTACACATAACGGCGCATAAGTGGCCGACCCCTCACAGTGTTCAAAAGAGAACTCGATAAACACCTCCAAAGGATACCTGATCAACCAGGCTGTGATTCATACGTCAGGCTGCGAGCAGCCGCGTCCAACAGCCTGGTTGACCAGTCCAGCAACCAGGCCGCCTAAGCGATGACCGGGCCGCGGGGACGCTAAGCCCCGAAACCATGACAAGGTAACCTCTACAATGATTGGAAACAACTCCTGCTAGAGTGATTGGGGAATTACGCCATCTTCAAATGAAGATGAACTATTGGACAATCATTAAGTAAAATAACTAAATTGCCTATCACTGTAGATTACCATACCTGTGGTGGGTGTGGACCACCCAGCCTGTGGTGGGTGTGGGACTACCCAGCCTGTGGTGGGTGTGGACTACCCAGCCTGTGGTGGGTGTGGACCACCCAGCCTGTGGTGGGTGTGGGACTATACCCAGCCTGTGGTGGGTGTGGGACTATACCCAGCCTGTGGTGGGTGTGGAACTATACCCAGCCTGTGGTAGGTGTGGAACTATACCCAGCCTGTGGTGGGTATGGAACTATACCCAGCCTGTGGTGGGTGTGGAACTATACCCAGCCTGTGGGGGGTATGAAACTATACCCAGCCTGTGGTGGGTATGGAACTATACCCAGCCTGTGGTGGGTGTGGGACTATACCCAGCCTGTGGTGGCTGTGGACTACCCAGCCTGTGGTGGGTGTGGACTACCCAGCCTGTGGTGGGTGTGGACTACCCAGCCTGTGGTGGGTGTGGGACTATACCCAGCCTGTGGTGGGTGTGGACTACCCAGCCTGTGGTGGGTGTGGACTACCCAGCCTGTGGTGGGTGTGGACTACCCAGCCTATGGTGGGTGTGGACCACCCAACCTGTGGTGGGTGTGGGACTATACCCAGCCTGTGGTGGGTGTGGGACTATACCCAGCCTGTGGTAGGTGTGGAACTATACCCAGCCTGTGGTGGGTATGGAACTATACCCAGCCTGTGGTGGGTGTGGAACTATACCCAGCCTGTGGTGGGTATGGAACTATACCCAGCCTGTGGTGGGTATGGAACTATACCCAGCCTGTGGTGGGTGTGGAACTATATCCAGCCAGTGGTGGGTATGGAACTATACCCAGCCTGTGGTGGGTATGGAACTATACCCAGCCTGTGGTGGGTATGGAACTATACCCAGCCTGTGGTGGGTGTGGAACTATACCCAGCCTGTGGTGGGTATGGAACTATACCCAGCCTGTGGTGGGTGTGGAACTATACCCAGCCTGTGGTGGGTGTGGAACTATACCCAGCCTGTGGTGGGTATGAACTACCCAGCCTGTGGTGGGTATGGAACCACCCAGCTTGTGGTAATAAGAAAATAACCTCCATAAACACTCAATATATACTTAAATAAACCAACAAATTATGTCTTACCTTTTTTTGGGGGGCGGGAGTCGAACCCCCTTCAGGACACGACGTTCTGGGTCGAGTTTTGATTATGTTTCTTCTATGTCTCACTCGAGAGAAAGGCTTCAAAAAGGTAAGCAACTAATATACACTTTTAAGTTTTAAATCACCACATTTAAGACACTTGTTCACTGCATCAGCCAATTACCAGGACACGATTGAATCACCTATATCACGTAACGAGCGTTTCAGCCCAACAAGGAACAAGACCAATTCATTGAACATTCACAAACTATTGTTCCTATTTTTTTTTTTTTTTTTGTTTACTGTTATCAGTTCACGAGCAAAAAATATTTTTCCTCTTAAAGCTCCGTTTCTGTTACTTGATCATTTTATTTGGAATAATGTTCTTTCGTGTTATTGCTGTCGGGGTTTTTTTTCGGTGTAATGCTGACGCAAGTTTACGTGTGAGGCACTGTCAGCTAGTCAGCTAGAGTCAGCTAGAGTTAGCTAGAGTTGGCTAGAGTCAGCTAGAGTTGGCTAGAGTCAGCTAGAGTTGGTTCGAGTCAGCTAGAGTTGGCTAGAGTCAGCTAGAGTTGGCTAGAGTCAGCTAGAGTTGGCTAGGATCAGCCAGAGTCAGCTAGAGTTAGCTTGAGTCAGCCACAGTCAGCTAGTGTCAGCCAGAGTCAGCTAGAGTCAGCCAGAGTCAGTACCACCGAACATTACGCATGTTTCACTTCCAAGTCAACAGGTGTCAGAGGGCTTCGCTGTGCCCGTTGTGTGAACGCGTGCTGACTTATTCCCACGTGCGCGTTCCTCCCGTCATTGGTCAGCAGCGAGAACAACACCACATCCTCGCGTCAAGCACCACCAACACGGAATCCATTCGAGAAAGAAAACAAAATGACTAAAAATTCAAAAAGGTGTGGGGTTTGGTGCAGAGGGGAGAAGGCGGCGCGGCACGTGTGTACCCTCTGGCGTCTGCCGATGCACTGACCGGTTGGGGGCGTGGGACTCCCCGGATCACCCCCCTCCTCCCATCAATCCATTCCACCCCCCCCTCTCTCTCTCTCTCTCTCTCTCTCTTTCTCATTAAACTAAGATACCCCATTAAGAATGGTAATGATATCCGTAATGAATCTGCAAGAGCTGCTATCCTACATCAGTCATCTGAAGCCCATAACCCTAGGAACTGAGCTCTCAAGTGAGATTATTATTAGTTTTTCCCCATTACGAGTCAACTTTATTTAACGTTAAATTGCGACTGAGAAACACGCTTTCATTTGGTCACTTGACTTGATTGCCCCTTGTATCTACGAGTTGAAAAGTAGACGGAAAACGTGCTTAAAGCGAGTCAGGTTGATTGAGAATGAGATAGCCAGCATGAGGCTATTGACGGCTCGGCGCGACATCTAGTTATTATGGAATAAGTTCGTCGATGTGTGGGAACCTTGAAAGACGTCCACTTATACTCTTCGTCTTCAACCTTCGTCTTTAATCCTCTGTGTTGAAGACTCTTCTGTACTGAGCAGTTCAGCTACAACGTCCCCAAGACTAGAGGTTAATGGTCCTCTCGCATGAGATTCTACTTTGCCCAAAATTTGGATAAGTGACTGGAGGGCGGGGAGAATTATTACTTAACCTATACTTATATTGATATTACAGTTTTATAAAAATAATAAAACAAAACCAAAATATTTAAATAAATTGTAAAGTAACTCAGGATATTGTCAAATATTGTATAAAATCTCTATTGTTTGATAAAACTGAAAAAGAAATTCCTAATATAAAAACTGGTGTTTAACAAATCTATAGGAAGAGTTTGTACATTATAAACAAAATGTAACTTGGCATATACTACATATGTACTTATTAATCAGCCAAATAGTGACTACAAGCAATAAGTCATATATGTACTGTTTTGAGCGGGGAGCAGGTAATTCTGGAGACCGAACTGGCGATTCACATATATCGTTTTTAACCCCATGCTGTCGAGAAGATATGGAGACGTACCTTAAGACTCTTCTCTAAGTTTCTTGGCTACCTTGTTAATAGATTCAGCAGGTGACACTCCATGGATATTAGAAAGTGGAACTGTATCACTAAATTGTTCAACTTCATCTCTGAGCACTTGGTTTTATCCAGTCAACTATATGTTCGTAGCAATTGCAACATCATTCAGTGTTTGTACATTTATTGCTCTCAAATGTAACCCCGCCAAACACACACCGAAACTACGACGTTGGTACAACGTTCGAACAAGCTTTCACACCTCCTAACCAGTTATAACAACCAATATAGCAAGTAATAACAACGTTCTAATACGTCATAAACACTTTAAACCAAGATGTAACAACTTTATTACAAGTTGTAACAAGCGGAAAATAGAGACAGTTTCTGTTTGTATTTCCAGGGACCTGATATTGCCTTCCAGATGTAGAAATTGCTGCTAGTTAGGTTAACGAACCTCTTAGAAGTTGGCCTTTCCTCTCTTGTATACGTAATGATGAGAGGCTAGTTATCAGCACTGTCAAGAATTTCAGGGAAAATGACAAGCATATTGCTGAAGTTGACACTCCACAACAAGGGGACAAGTACACAACCTTGTGGGAACACTGAGACAAATTGAGTGATTTTGTTATTCTGCTTCAATAAAGATCTTTTACAATCTATTCTTAAATATAGCTCCTTGTAAACAGTAAAATTTAACCTTATTACACAAGTCACTGAACCTTAGCCAGCAGTCGCTGGTGTCATACGAGGTCACAGATGTTACGGACCCGAATCCAGCGTCCGAGCACGGAGCAGTGACGACCGCGCCATCTGTGGGTCAGCTCCCGAAACCCCCCTCCCAATGGACGACGACACCTGGTGAGGACG